AGGCAGTACTACTCGCACGACGCCACGGTGCTTGAAGCAGAACAAGAACGGAGATATTTTCCGAAGGACAGCATGTGAGTCCCCTCCTCGCTGGAGATATTCAAGCTATCCTGACATACATGCTACGTCGAGGCATCGATAAGAGGGGCATGCTTGGGCGCATTGTGGCCTTGCTGCCTCTGAGCTCATGTGGGCATGCCTGCATTGTCCCACAAGTCGTTGTTTTCCTCCACTATCCCACAGACCAGTCTCCGACTATCTTCTGGAACTACATCTCACAGCTCTCACGCTAGAGACGAGCTACACTATTTCCTGGTTCACAACGTTCTCTCGTTACCTCTTACTAGCAAGCTTGATTACATGTATGGGCTTCTGTTAGCCTCAGAACTAAGCTCACGCCTCTCACGCCACTCCTGGGATCACTCCACGACCATATATATGACCCAACCAAATCACTTGGCCAGTTGGCTGGCTACGCACACGATCCTGCACACATGACCCAACCAAACCAACCACTTTTGTGCTGACCGGATCACTCAATCCACACTCCAGGACTACTGCTTATCACCTACGACTCAACCAAACCAGCTACATGCTAACTACTTTTGACAAAAAATAGGAAATATTTTACTACTTTGATGGATATATTTAGTATTTCCCAACAGCTCACAAACATCCACGAGTACTCTTAATCATACATGAACACCATAAGAAACTATTTAAATTTTGGGGAGACTGTTAGATTCCCGACCGTGGATTTGTTGTACTACAATACCACTCTACCCTGTATCTAAATCTTTCAGCTTGCGTCAAGATTCGTGCTATCGTTATCTAGAATTTTCTCTTTTTTGTTTCTTTCAATGAAAGAAAATTTGACCTTGAAACTTTGTAGTTCAACTATACTCAAGGGACACTCATTGTAATAAAATATTTTCCGATTTTTTGATGAAACATGAATTTGTCAAATTTTGAATCACTTGTATCATTTTTAAAAATTTATATTGTGCCAAAGGATCCAAAGTGGTCAGACCCTTCCTGTTAGGAGTAAACCACGGCTCGGCGTGGTGACCGGCGTATCAGTTAGCGCAGCGTCGTTGTGCTCGTTGAGACTCCGCGCATGAAGTTGGGCAGCCGGATGTGGATCACTCTTTGGCTCGTGGAGAGGCCCGGTCTTGCGGCCGTTGAGAAGCCTGCGCAAGTCCTGGAACCATGCGTGTAGCTAGCAGCAGTTTGTTACTGCATGTACGTGTGCATGCATAGTTAGTTAGTCAGGCCATGGGTTAGTGGCCGGTGTGGCGTTCTAGTGGGTTAGTGCTCGGTGTGGTGAGCGTGCGTGTGCTAGGTGCGTGTGTGTGCTCCGGGTATAAATCCCCCCGCCTGTGTACTGGTTGGTTGCCAGAAAAAAGTGCTCCATCCATCAGAGAGAGAGCGGTTCCAACACTTCCTGGACCCTGCACAAGGGGGAGCTACATCACAAGGCTGCCCTTTTTATATTGCGCCAAAACATCCAAACATATTTCTGCACATGGTAATACTTGTGCGTTGTTGGTCTGTGAAGTTTCAAGATCAAATATTCTTTTATTGGGGAGAAACAAACAAAAAACGAAATGCAATTGCACGAACTTTGATGCAAAAAAGGAAGGTGATGATAGAGGGTACACGTGTATGGTAGTACTGTCAGTACTTTCCATAGATTCCCTAAATTGCATGCTAGAGTACTGTCGGTCAAATGCTTGTCTTTTTAAAAAGAATACGCCTTACATTTTAAAACAGAGAGGGAGAAAATAGCAAGAATGAGATGATTTTGCCTATTCTGTTTATGTGGCAGTACTACTTAAATGCCATAATGACGCAGACGAACAGCTGGGGTATTTTCCAATGACTTAATGCCACAATGATGTAGACAAATGGAGGCAGAAGGATAGGTCAGTAGCCGATTGTACAACACCATGTGGGTACGCCTGGACTGTCTTTACAATTAAGCCATTAGTAACTTCAGGATGCAGATTTCGAACCACGAAGAAAGAGATGATGAGACTGGACCAAGGATTTAGAAGTCGATCGTTCGCTTGAAGTTTAGTCTTACTACTGCACAAAAGCCAACTGCCAATTTCCCGTTATTTGTTTTCCTCCACTATCTCACACACCTCTTTTTAACCAACTGTTGGAGCTGCATCTCAATTCTCACAGCTCCTCCCTTCACTCTCACAATTGTTTCTCGTTGCTTCACACAACACATACGCACCAAGAGAGAGACACTCAGAGATTTGCTTTGGCCAGAGGTATTTCTCCTTGGTGGCACTAGAGACTAGTACATTGTTTTTCCTGCCCTCGCAGCATCCTCCTCTTCTCACTACTTCTCTTATATAGCAAACTTGATCACATGAATAGGCTGTTAGACTCGGCTAAACACACGCCTCGCACCACCAATCCTGGAATCACTTCAATAACCCATGACTCGACCAAATCTGTTGCCTGGCTACTCACACGATCCTACATGTGTTGGTGTCTACCTACGGCTCAACCAAACCGGACAGCTACATACAAACACTTCTCTCTGATTCCAGCCCCACGCCATGCCAGAACTTCCTCTAGTAGGTGGTAGCAGCTTGAAGAGCATCAGAACAACATGCGAAATAGATTACGGACGAGCTGTAGCATGAAAGTATTGCCATCCCGAAATACCAGAATGCACAGACACAAGGATGCTTTCTCCGCTATTTGAATGTGCCCGACTTACCAGTAACTCTAAGATTACTTGCCTTACATTCTGTTTCAGTGGAACTGACACTCTGCATGCTTAGCTCTGGATATCTCCAACACATCTCCTCTGGTGAGTTGGCCATCATAGATCGGAGCTGATTAACATTCTGTTTAGCTGTAAAGAAATGATCCGGTGACCTGCAAGCAAACCAACCAAAAATCTCAATTATCACCAGAACTGAATCTGGTAACAACCTGATGCATGCCTCCCATGAGTATTTCCCTCCGGCAGATCAACACATGGAGAAACATCTCATGCTAGCTTTCTTTTGCGCACCATGTATCATACCATCTAGTAATTAATTGCAGCTTGCTTTTCTTCATCTCCAATTCTTATACTACCCTTCTCAGCATCTTGCATTTGAACAACTTGCATGGCGCCATCTTGAACATAAGAAACATCCATACGACTAGGTTGGACCTTACTGATGAACCGATTACTGAATCAACATCTGCAGAATATTAGACCTTTAATTTTCCATACAATGAAAACAACATTCTCTACTATAGTTGTTTGCTGATCGCAGCCATTCAGATATACTAATGGTTTTTGTGGTTTGTGCAGTTAACAGAAATTCATTCCAGTACCACAAACAAAGCTATGTGAAGAAAGAAATCCTGTAATGATGGCACCAAAACTACATTACAGTTCAGAAAACGTGGGTATACCCGGTAGCCATACCTCATCAGTTTCCAGAGTCTGTAGTTATCAACAAATAACTGGCAAACCGGCACAAGAGAAGGGGGAAGTGCGTAATCAAGATAGTGGTCTGCTGCTCTTGTAGCTGCTTGCTTCATCTCAAGCTCCATCATGTATACAAGTACAACAGTCACAGGAGACTTTTCTTTTAACGACAGAATCTAGACAATGTATTCTTGAAACCATCTGCACTTTGGGACTTCATCAAAGAGCTGTTTCTGCCACTTCTTACCATGAAATAGACTATCAATCAGCACACGGATTTATTTTGCAATTTCCATCAGAATGGATCCTCACTTTTTCTGGTTCCTGTGAATTAAGCAAGCCAGCAAAAAATACTTTTATGTCAGTATTACTGGTTAGTAAGAATAAGATACTTTGTATAACAAAATACAAAAACAAATTAGAAATAGTACCTAAAATACAGCCGTAACATCTTGCATATAGTTATGAACTTGCTTGCATGTCTATCAACATAAACGCATCTAACGTTTTTTATCTTTCTGCACTGTTCCTTTAGTTCTGTACTGCAGTTGCTCACATACAGCTCCTGCAGGGAAGCCGGCAGGCCCATTTCTGGTAATGATAGAATTCCTGGACAAGCCTTGATAGATAGTTTCTTGACGGAAGAAAGACGATGCAGTTCCTTAGGCAGCGATATGAGATCAGAGCAATAGCAAAAATCAAGAATATGAAGAGATGTAAGGTGACAAAGTGCTTTGTCTTGTTCTTCTGTGAACGATCTCACATTCTTCGCCTGCAGAGAATGAGTGATTGAGAAATCATTGTATACCCTACAAGTTCACCACATCAATGCAACTACACTGAGTTATTATTACCATGAAAAACACCACATGTTGGAGAGAGGGGAGGCTCTTGCAAATTGTTGTGCTAAAGAATGAAGCATTATCAATCTCAAGCTTCTCTAGATGCAGTAAAAAGTACAGATCCTTGTTCTGCCCATCTGGAGATGAAGGGCCGCAAGGTATAGCTAAACTGGGACATTCAAATATCCGCATGTGCTTGATGCTGCAGAGAGACCCCATGCTGTCCAGAGCAGATAACCTAGCACATTTCTCAATAATAATTGTTTCTAAAGATGTGCAAGAATGGAGAACAATAGATGTCAGCCCTGGACTCCGTGATATTGCCAAGATGGACAATGAGGTGAGATTAGAAAGCATGAAAGACAGCAACCTGTTATCCATGTGAGTAACCATAAGGTCTTGTATCGATGGTGGTAGGAGGGACCAGCTGTCACTGGATTCTTTTTCTGTCATTATAGAAAAAAATTGTGGGCACCCTGTTATGTGCAGTGTTTTGAGTGAGATAAATCCAAGAAAGCCTTCATTGCACAGAAGAACCAGATCTGGGAAGTCTTCTATGCACAAATACTCAAGCCGATTTAAGAGGTCAGGTGGGATTTGCAACAAGCCATCAATTGTCCAGTAGTGGTTGTAAGATGTTGAGGAGCTGAAATTCCCAGTAATCAGACCACCAACTGCCAAGGATGCTATTTTTGGACAGCTTCCAATAGTCAAGAAATAAAGGGCAGTTGCAACAGCAAGTCAGATAACTGCTTCCCGGTTATACCACATTCTTGGATTACAAGCTTCTTGAGCAAAGATGGGACTCCTTGATCATACGAATAAGCAGGCAAGAAAAACTTTGGACAATCCATAATTACCAGCATCTCCAAGGAGAGAAGTCGGCTGAAATTTTCCCAGGGCAAATATGCTAGATCAAGGAAGCTTGCAATTGTTAATTTCACAAGCCCGCTAAGCCTGTAGTAAGTCAAAATTGATGTTAATATCTCATCCAAGGTTCTCACACTAGCACTCCCTTTGATATGTAATGCTCGCACAAATAATCTGATGTCAGGAAATGATCCTACTCCCTCAATAGACATTATGGATAGAGATTTCATCTCACCAAACTGGGGTAAGTCAACTAGCTGAGGACAGTTGTAAATGTTAACACGACGGAGGCAACAAAATGAGTGAAAGCCTTTGTCACTGGAAGAACATTGAGGTAATGCAAATAACCTTAGTTTAGGGCAATCTCTTATTGTAAGTTCTTCTAGACATGGAAAAATGACATGCTTTTCAGACCCAGTCCAATCGTCACAGGACATAACTGGTACTTCTGTTGAAGCAGACAACTGTACCAAATGTAGTGTTTTAAGAAGTGGAAATTGCCCAAGTGGCGGAAGTATCTCCCATTTTGTGCAATTCTCAAGATAGATGGACTCTAAGCTGGTGAGTGAAAAATTGGAGCTCAACCATGTCGGGGAACAAATACCTCCATAACTAGTTATATGAAGGCGCTTGAGCCCACAACTTGGAAGAAGACCCTCAAGCACCTCTGCCTCAGTAATAGAACTCACACCAAACCGATTCTTACACCATGAAAGCAACAGATCATGGATGTATATCTTGTCTCTTAATCCAGCATTCTTAGACTCCTCCCTACTACCCACATTCTCCAGATTGTAAATTGCAAGAGATCCTCCCAATTCTTTTAACCCATTCAACTGTTCAATCTGAAAGTCTTCAGTCTCTCCCACTCGGAATTCCTTCAATTCTTGGAGGAACTTTAGCCTTCCAACTCCAGCAATCTTTGCATGCAATTCGCCTCGAGCAACAAAATGCCTCAAGTTCAAAAGATTGTTCATGCCAAGTGGTAAAGCAGAAAGATCCACCCAATACTCTACATCAAGAACCTGGAGATGATAAAGTCGACATATAACCTCTGGCAAGGGTCCACCTGGTCCACTTGATATTAGTTCAAGATAGCGAAGATGGATCAATTTGCCAAAGTCACTAAGAAGAGTGTCTATGCTGCAAGTTAGTACGGATAGCCTCAAAACGCGAAGATGCTGCACCTCTTTGAATACCTTGGAAAAAGTTTCAGAAAACCCTTCATCATACTTCCCAAATAACATTAATGTGCTCAACGTTTTGGTCTGCACTTTTCCACCAATGTAAGCCAGCTTTCTCTGAAAGTTATCGTTGGGAGAATAATGACGGGCACTTGTGTTCCACTTATAAGCAGATCTTGTATTGATAGATAGGTGTCGAATAGTTGGGTGACATGTTCCACTTCTTGAATCAAAATTTTCCAACATATGACATTCGTCTAAAGAAACTATATGTGCCAGGTCATGAATCAGATCATGCATAGAATAGTATGTGCTTCTTTGAAAAAAACCTCGGTCCACTAAATCATTCAAGTAATGATAACCAGTCTCCTCCATTCTCTTACTTCCAGAAGGAATAAAACCTTGTGATATCCAAATGCGAACCAATTCCATCCCATCAAACATGTGACCTTTAGGAAATAGTGCACAATAAGAAAAACACCTTTGGAGATGGAAAGGCAAGTGTGTGAAACTAAGTTTCAATGCAGGGATGATATCATCCGGCCCTTGCTGCAGCTTCCATTCATCACTTTGCAAAACTGACATCCAGTGCCCACCATCAAGGTTTCTTTTCAACAGTGCACCAACACTTTTTGCAGCTAAGGGGTAACCCTTCAACTTGTTGGCTATCCGCTGCCCAATAACCTGTAAACCTGGATGTCCTTCATATTTCTCATCACCAAATGCACATGACTTGAACATAAGCCAAAAGTCATCATCTTTCAGGCCATCTAAATGTATAGGGTCCACAGTAGAAATCATTTTCACGACAGAGTGATTTCTAGTTGTGACCAAGATCACATTGCCATTCATTGAACATCTTAGTGGTGCTAATAGCTTGTCCCAGCGACTTTTATCACTGTCCTCCCACATATCGTCCAAAACAAGCAGCATGCGCTTCGACTTCAAATCCTCATCAAGAATCTCTTGCAATTTATTCAGGTTTGTGATTCCTTCATGCTTGCTCACACCAGTTGACACGCAGTCCAGCATCTCACGTGTGAGCCTTACTTCATCAAAGTCAGCAGACACCAAGATCCATATCCGCTTGCTGAAGCAACCTTTCACTCTTGCGTCGTTATAAACGAGTTGTGCTAGAGTAGTTTTCCCAACACCACCATTGCCAACAATCGGAAGGACTGACAAATCGACACCACAAGCCTCAGCACTCACCAGCGTCTCCACAATGCGCTCCTTCACGGCATCCCTCCCAAATATCTTCGGCTCGGTAACAAAAGCTGTAGTCGGCCCCGGCGATCCATACCAGCATCATGACCTCCGCGGGTGAAAACAAGGTCCAGCTTCTCCATCTTGAGCGCCTCACGAACATCATCTCCAGCTTCACACATTTGCTTCAAGATCTCATCAATTCGACCGGTGCTGGCATCCTCGTCCCCACCAATTCGTGCCCTTTTAGCACCACGAATCTTGGAGACCACTGACTGGACGACTGACGACGAGGAGCAAGTGTCGCTCCCCTCATCCGGATGGAGCTGGCGGTGGATCTGGTGGTAGAGCATTTCGTCGAGCAGGTTGTCGGCGTCGCTGGCAAGCCCGTGGAGGCGGCGCAGGGAGCCGAGCAGGGCCTCGCTGCGCGCCCTGGGCTCGCGCTCCTGGGCTGCGGAGAGGACGAGGTGGAGGCCTTGCAGGCGGGAGCGGAGCCGGTGGATGTCGCCTCCGGGGTCGGGGTTGGGGTCGGCCACGCGCGCCGCGGCCCAGGCGGCGTCCATGCCATCGCTGACGAGCTTCTCCAGCACGACCTGGACAAGCCATGACGCTGCGCCCACGACGTCCATGGGTGCAGGGCGGCGGCGGCGGCGGTGGACGGGAGAGGCCCGAGGATGTAGAGATCTATGGCGATGAGGATTTTTCCACTGGATACCGGTGGACGGAGCCTGCCTGCAGCAACAGTAGTTGACTTTGTGGTGTCACGCTGCTCGTCACCGATGTATTGTGACTTGTGAGAAGCCTTCTGATTCAAAAACATTTTTCTAAAGGAATTTTGAATGATTTTCATTTTCCTTTCTACTCCATGCATGGTTTAATTTTTAGGACTGCAATTTACAGGAATTTTTCATAAGAGTTATCTGTACTAGATTTCGTAGGAACATTTCAATCCGCTCAAACATTACGTAAAGAATGTTATAACTTCTCTGTACACAGTCAACATCAATGCAGTCCTATAATGTTGAAAAGAACATGACACTCACTCAATGTGTTTTTCCAATGGCACCCATTCCGATTGAACATACAACAAAGAAAAAAAACAGAATCAAAGCTGATGTAGACTAGTACTACAAATAATTCACCGAGTATAATTTTGAACCTGGGCACTCGAAAAATATTCTTCCACTCAAGTGAAAAGTGGCATGTATGAATTTCTATTCTGTTTTTTTTTTTCTACATGTGTTCGGACAAAAACTGTACTTGACCTTTAGTCAATGCCCCTATTTGCGTAAGACATAAGCAGGCAGACGACACTCTTGGGCCAAGTCATGGTTGCCAATGCCAAAGGAAAGATGCACAAGCGGATGACACCAGCCTTTTTTGTTTCACCCCAACATCTCATAGCAATTGTACATAACTAATTACTGCAATGTCTTTTACTCTACTAATGTCTTCAGGGCTACATGCTTCCACTTTGAGATACAGCCCGTTCACCTACTATTACTTGGTACTTGAGGAAGGAAGACACTTTGCAATAGGTTGTATATATACACCACATGCCAAGATCATCCAACGGCCATGTATGATGTATGTAGTCATGAGTATATTGTCGCACCCTGCATGCAAGTCGTACATGCTATACATTGTTTCTCTTTCTCATTCACATGAAGAATGCTTGCACAAAATGTAGATTAAATTAAACAGGTTATTGCATCTGGGCCTGATCAACGGCTAGCAAGGAAAGTTCTATTTTTGCCAAACCAACAAGCAAGACAGGGTTGTTCCGTCATTGAGGGATATGACCTGGTTGTAGTAGGATCAAGATTCAAGAGTCAATCTCAAGCAAAACATGTCCACCGACTACTACTTCCACAAGATGAAGAGCCGAGAGGAACCCTCTTTGCTTGCATTTGGGAGGGGGGGATGACCAAGCCAATGTCCACATCACCAACAAGTAGATGCATTGTGGCGACTGTTCAACCCATTTGTGCTTGATCTTTTGGCCCACATATAATGGGCTAGTACTTTCCTCTATTCCACGATGCGGTTCATATTTTTTTTCCAAAAGTCAAACATTTTATGTTTGACCAAGTTTATAGAATAGACCGTTTGCAAGTAAATACTAAATAAATAAATTATAGAAATGCACTTCATGACGAATCTAATGACACTAATTTTTAACTTTGGTTTTTATATTCTCTTCTATAAAACTTGGTCAAACATAAATATGTTTAACTTTCAAAAACTTAATATGCACTTTAGTGATCTAAAACGCCTTATATCACTCGTGTAGCCAAGCTACAATAAAACTTACAAAGTTCGTCAATGTCATCCGGACCAGCACCGAGACACACTGCAGTACATCAATTCACGCCCTTTTAGCACCACGAATCTTGGAGACCACTCACTTGATGATCAACGACGAGGAGGAAGTGTCTTTTGCCTCATCCTGATGAGCAGGCGGTGGATCTGGTAGTAGAGCATTTCCTCGAGCAGGTTGTCGGCGCCGCTGGCGAGCTTGTGGAGGTGGCGCAGGGAGCCGAGCAGGGCCTCGCTGCTCACCCTGGGCACACGCTCCTGGGCTGCGGAGAGGACGAGGTGGAGGCCTTGCAGGCGGGAGGGGAGCCAGTGGATCTCGCCTCCGCGGTCGGGGTCGGGGTCTGCCGCGCGCGCGGCGGCCCAGGCAGCGTCGATGCCGTTGCCGACGACCTGTACCAGCCAGGACGCTGCGCCCACGAGTAATTGATTTTGTCGGTCATGCAGCTCATGGAAAGATTTTTTTTTTCTAGTAAATAGCTCATCCAAGGAACTAAAAATGAATGGAGCACGTTGATCTTAAAGATTTTCTATAATCCGTAGGACTGCAATTTGCATAGAATTTATTTGTATTTTTTTCGAAAAGGGGAACTCCCCGGCCTCCGCATCAGAACGATGCATACGGCCACATTTATAACATAGAATTTATTTGCATGGAATTTGGTAGGATAATTTTATCCATTCCAAAGCATATATAAAGAAATTATATGTTTTCATGTGCACAATCACACGTGCTTGCAATCTTGTAGTATTGACAAATGACATGACACACGATTCAGGTGTTTATTCTATCTTGGTTTTAAAAATCTTAAATATCACAGAGGTGTCACTGAAAAAACAATCAAACAAGCACCGACTCGAAGGACGAAAGAACCAGTTGTGGCTAGTGGCCATCGAGGAGTTTCACGAACGCGTGAGATCAACATGCCGTTGTGCCATTTTCTCCCATGGAACCGCTGTCTACTCCACCCATGCTAATTAACTAAAAAGTAATAAAAAAACAACAAGCTTGTTTGTTTCGCTCCAACGTCCCACAGTCACTGTACGTAGCTAGTTGCTGCAATGTTTTTCAGTTCACTAAGGTTTTTCGGTCTAGGACTGCATGCTTTCGTTTTAACATATAGCCTGCCGACTTGCTACTGCTTGGTACTTGAGGAAGACACTTTGCCATAGGCTGTATATATACACCACATGACAAGATCATCCAATGCTCATGTATGTGGTCATGAGTATATTATTGCACCTTGCATGCAATTCGTTCGTGCTATACATCGTTTCTCTTTATCATTTACATGAAGAATGCACGCACAAATTGTGTTTTTACTAGAAATTAAATTTAATGACTTGCTGCATCTGGTCCTGATCATCATCTCGGAAAAAAAGTTCTATTTTTGCCAAACAGACAAGCAAGACAGGGTTGCCACCGTCATCGAGGGATATGACCTGGCGGTACCAGGATCAAAAGCCAATCTTAGGTGAAACATCTCCATCGGATACTACTTCCCCAATACGAAGAGCCCACATGAAACCCCTCTCTGCTTAAGGTGGTGCAACATAGATGTAAGTGTCCCTATGAGTGGAAGTCCACATCACCAACAAATAGATGCATCCTGATGGGTGTTCAAACCGTTTGCGCACTAGTGCAGAACCGGCCTTTAGTGCCGGTTCGTAACGGACTTTACTGCCGGTTCTCCAACCGGCACTAAAGAGTGGAGACTAAAGGTCCCCCCCTTTAGTACCGGTTCGTCACAAACCGGCGCTAAAGTGCGAACACGTGGCACGAGCTAGGCCCGGGTGCGCGTAGGGCTTTAGTACCGGTTGGTAACACCAACTGGTACTAAATGTTTGGATGTTTTTTTTTATTTTTCATTCCATTTTTTTGTTTGATGGTATTTCACGATACTACAAATTGTACACGTTAT